GAGAAAATTATCCCAAAAAGAGGGTATTAGCACTAATCCGCCTTTGAACAACTCGGCCCAAAGGTCATTTCTTGAAAGTCAATAGCTTTAGGGGCCCAAAGCCAAATTTTTAACATCAAAATTTAAAGCACAGAGAAGCAGTTCTATCACCCCCTCAAGTACAATATTTTTCTTTAGCTTATAGTAATGTTTAATTTTATAGTTTTCAAAACCTTTAAAGCTCCCATTTTGTATTAAAACAGAACAGCTTTAAATTACCAGAACCTTCAAGGGACAGGCCCCTGATCTGCTTATTAAATTGACCTACATATGTTTTCAAAACCTTTTACTCCCAAAAGCAACCAAGGCAATATCAATACAACATCCAGCAGACAAGTAACAAGAATAGAGAAAACTAGCAATTAGGAGATTACTGACTGATCGAATACCAAGTTCTCCAAACAAACATCATAATAATTGTATGGCAGATAGTAAGGAGAATTACTAAAATGAGATCTTGGAAGTGAAAAGGTTAAATCATATTTTGCACATGATGTGATTTTTGGAGTATTCACCTCACCTGAAACATTTTAAAGTCTGTTCGCAACTGGACTCTTTTTGGTTTGGCCACAACTCCATTACAAAAAACACTGTTATAATAAAACATTACATATTACGTTAATCATTGTGACATGAATATGAATGGTTTAACACCCACACAACAGTTGAACATTAAGAACATCTGCTTAATTTGTCCAAAACATAATTCTACATATATTTTATATTCTGCGTTAAATCATTTCACATTAAACCAAAGAGAAAAAGTTCTTCAGGGGGAAAACTCAAGGCATGTGTGCCTCACTCAAGCATAGTAACAGGGCTCAAAGTACTTTATTTCAAATGGTCCTCATTGTTTACTCAAATTTAATTCAGAATACCTCTGTTCAGGTTACTAAAATGGAATAGAACACTTTTGAATAATTGACAGACACATAGCCTCTAGTAAGATGCTGACAAAAGTATTGCAAGGGAGCTCTGCAAGGGGCTATGCTATGCTATGAAAAACACCCAGTACAGCTGCCCGAGTGCATTGTCAGAGTCAAACTACTCTACATAACCTGAGCCCAAGAGTTAGATGGAAGCTGTGTAAAAGAATGGTCATGAGCCTTTTGCAACTGATTTGGGGACTGCACTGAAAAAGGGGGGTGCCTATTGATGAAAAAAGAAGAAAACAGTGTGGCTCCAAGTTTCAATCCTTTGTCATACATATTAACTGTCCACTGGTTCACCTTTTACAAGCTGGGTTTCAAATCATGCTAAGTTTGAAATAATTCATGGTGAATAACGACAAGGACATTATTTACCGAGAGCTGCAGTACTTACATGATGGTTTTTATCTCTTCCTTTTTCCGTAGACCGCTTACCCTCGCTCTGCCCGGCACGTTTCCAAATTTGCGATGATTTAGCTCGAGGAAATTTACCTGTTAACGAAATATAATCACGAAATGACAGTCACATCCTCAAACAATGAGAGACGTGTGCATGAACAACTCATTGAATAAATTCTGTGAAGTATACTCTGGAAAATACGACCAGCCTATTAATCCTTTCACGATTTCAAAATTGACGTTTTTTGAGTCTTTATTTGAATATAACTCCTTAGCAAGTGGGTTAAATATTTATTTAAACATTTAAGTGTTTAATTATTCATGCATGGTAAGTTCACTTCGATACCAGATTTGTTATTGAACTCACTCGGCATAATTAAGGCTCTATCGTCTCCATGAATAATAGAGAAGATCAACCTATCAAACTCTGAACAATTGATAGTTGCTTTACAAAAATAGATTGTGATCGAATGTGCGATCATTAAAAAATAGTCCAAAAACATCGAACACAATATTTGTCTTTAATTGCCTTTATCACTGCACGACAAAGTATACAAAATATGACCTAGATTAGATTTTAACTGTATGTTGACGCGTTTTGAATATATCTTACCTCAGGTCCTTTGAGAGGCGGTAAACGGTTGGGCCTCGAGTCTTTCACATCATATCTGAGAAAATAAAGCGCAAACAGACTATCATTATATGGAGAGTTTGCATTTGTGAACAAAGATCAACCAAATGACACTTGATGAAGAATTACTCCGCAAACACGAGTCTGATCGCGCCATCGCAAACAAAAATCTTACCCAATTTTTTTAAACGGCTCTCTTCCCTTAACGACATAAGTGCAGTCTCTCTGTAGATCGTCAAGCGTTCTGATTCGATGTCTTCCACCTGGAGTCCTTATTTCTCGAGCTGGTGTACGAAAACTAGCTGCCACAGTATTTAAGAAAGATTCAAAGCTTCGCATGTCTCTGTGATTGACAACAATACGCTTTCTCTTATAACTGTCCCCGTTGAGATGTACAAAGACCGGCTTTCCCATCATATTTATCCCTCTCTCTTGAGCAGCCATGATCCTGGAATCCTATTTTACCTCACTTAGAACTTCTAATTAAGTTTAAGAAGAGAAGAACACTATTAGGTAAGACATGGTAAAATCACTCACGGTTCACTGAGCTCTGTGTGACCTCAGTAATTGTCGACGTGCGCATTATGGGATGTCACATGATTTGTTTACCCTGGTGACGTACATAGTAACCAAATCGTCATTAGTGTCAAATTAAAAACTCATTTATCCTGCTGAAGACTTGGATTTTTCGTGAATGACCCGTGTAGTTTTATAAAGAAAAGCAAAAGTAAAAAAACAAATACTCGTTGCTAGTGACAAAGGGTTACGAGAGTAACCGAGATTAAATGATCATCTGCATTCAGACTCGACTACGAATTTGCGTTCTGATTTGATTTGATAATGAACAAAGAGCCATTTTGCGTGGGTCTAACCATCGGCCACCTTACGTGGGCTGTACTCCGTAAACTATTTTTTTTTCAAAGGATAAAGAAAAACAATCTCTTTCTCTTTTCTGAAGAGTTGGATCTTCAAGTTATAAATTTCGTGTGTTTCTATTATTATAAGAAGTGGAACTTGTATTGTTCATGGAGGCCTTGCGTAATGTTGTTTGTTTTACGAATTTATTCTTAGTGAACCAAAAGAGTGCATTGGTAATCTTAAATTGAATCGGAGAAGCTGACCCGGCAGGGCGAGGAGACATCAAATATCCGAGAGAAAATTGAAAAACAAAATTAACCGTAATATGCACCGGAACTACGAGAATTAGTTCAGTACATTGATAAATCATATTCGTTAATATATTTAGTTAATCATTCTTCTCAATTATCAGTACTTTCCTACAGGGTTGACCCGGTTGGCTTAACATTAAAGGCAAAAAAGCTAAAAAAAATGCCTAGATGAGTTTTGGTAATACAGCCAATAAATGACATCGAGAGTTCTTGAACACTTTTCAAGAACTCTCGATGTCATTTATTTTTGGGGCTAAAATAAGTGGATGAATGAAATAATATTGCAAATAACTCATGCTGTCTGTGGTAGTCATATATAAACGCATCTAAGCATAAAGCAAATGGTGCACGAGGGACACTCTTTTTCAAAGGTGGTTCTCAGTCATTAATTAAGGTTTCCGAGCATGCGTTTTTGTGTGAGAGTTTTAATTTTTAGTACTACAAGTCTACTCGATAGTAACGAGAAACGTGTCTTCCTAGAGTTTATAGAAAAGAAACAACAATTTTTATTACTCTGCGCTCCACAAAAAACGATTACACAAGCTCGTTCAAACGTACTGTAGCACACAAACCTTTTATAACATACTTTGTATCTATGTACATGTTTTTATCGAGTCTAATGCCATCATCAGCCCTGGCTAAAGTCGCCATCAGAACTGACTCCCGATTATCCTCAACAATTTATTCTACAAATAATTTAAGATTTATTAAATCCATAATCGTTGAAGTCTGATTGATTCTCAGCAGTGCGATTTATTCACAAATTTTTGGCATTGATTGTACCTTTTTCTCAGCCAATGGCAGGAGCCCATCAAGTAATGGGCTCCTGCCAATAAAAGAAAACAGCCAATAAGATTTCAGATTTTAGCGCTGTACAAATTATGCGAGAACAAAAAAAACACTTATTTCTTTTTTCCTTCTTATTACTCATCGATGTATTTATTAGTTTTATCGTTCATTATTCTGTTTTGTTAAAATTGCTAAAATGTGAATAAGACCGAGGTCGTGTATAAAGGGAGTGAAGGCAAAGGAATTGAAAAACTGGCAATTTCTCTTGGAGTCCCGAAATTTAATTATTTGAGTCTAAAATCATACTGTGGCGCTGCAGGCATGTTTGGTTTTGAAATTACACTTGAAGGAATTAAATTACTTCTGTACACGTTTGGTGGTTTCTTCCATTTAAAAACCTTAATTATGTTTGTCATTATGCAATTACCACCTCTATGACAGTTGATTTGCCTACCAACGTATGCGCATCGAAAGAGGGTCTCATCGAGGTTAACCTTTAACCGTAAACGGTTAAAAGAATTCAGCTATCAGGCTTAAAAGCTATAAAATTTAAGCCAGTTGTCGATAAAAAGCCAACCGTAATTTTTTTTGGTTTACTTTAACGAAAATAAATTAACCGTTAGCCGTAGAATGGCCAAAACATTAACCGTTAGACGCAAAAGCCCCTAGCTCATTATGACCTTCACGAAACCCTTTTCATGAACACTGCGGAGCCAAGATTACTTACCTAATGTGCGAATAAACACAAAGTAGAGATATATAGAGCGATTTTGGATTGAGTATTGTAGAAACAAAACCAAGGTCAGAGCAAGAGTGTATATACAAGGAACTAATCGGAAGAATCACATAACTGAAAGTGAGTGTGCGAAATCGGCCTTAAAGGCGGGAAATCTCGAGTGAGTTATTTTTAGTTTTGGATCTGATTGGCAATTGAGAGCCGGGATGGTGCGTGTCTTAAGGTAGAAAGTTCACAAAGCGTAGTGTGTTGAATAGCGCAGATCTATACTGCTTTGATGCTCAAATGAATTGTTTTTCCTCTTATGCGTTGTAATCATCTAACGCACGTAGATTTTCCAAAAGTCTCCTGGCGACGAGATGGTATCATTAGTCATGTCATCACAGAACCAGTAGTCTTCTCTCAAATACCAGTAGTACTTATACCCAACAAATGCAGCCCTATCGTACAACCGTCGCTCTCTTTTCTGGTTTTCCTTACTCCATTTTCCCACATGGTACCTGTTTTCGTATCCCCAACTTTCACACTGTGCTGCCAGCTTTGAGTTATCCCCGTGCATTTTTTGAAAGGACCCGCATGAAGTAGGCACTACATTTCTCTGACCGCTGAAGTACTGAACTACAGCTTCGCCAGAGCTGTTAGCCACAGTGGCCACGTGGAACGTACGTCCCTGTTTCTTACTGCAGTGGAATCTAAGCTGAGTGAAATTCAAGTGTGATCTGAGATCTTGCATTGCCTTTGTTCCAATACCCATTTTGTTGCTGGTGAAGTTTCTGATCGCTCGGTATGATGAATTTAAAGTCCATCTGGTGAATGAAGTAGAGCCATCAGTTACAAAGTTTACGACGAGAAGCCATCCTCCTGAAATAGAACAAATCGGATATTCTTTCAGCGTTTTAAGCCTATTTTCAATAAAAGAAATCACTCAGCTTGAATAAAAAATGAGATTTCACAATTCCAATACGAGCTCGAGATTTCTGTCGCTTGATAGTTGACAAAGACAAATCCCAAATAAACATTATGCATATGAATCAAAAGTAAATTATCTCATTGTTTCAGCAAGATCTATTAGTCGTTCAAACAACAAGAAAACCTCATATTTTTATTTTACCTTGTTTATAATAACACAATGTTCCTAATTTCTTTACTCACTATATATCACGGAATAGACAGCGAGTTGGATGTACATTTTTATTAAAAGAGATAATAAATGGTAATGTTAGCACCAAATTAAACCTTAAAAAAGTAAATATTTTCTAAAAGTTTTTCCACAGTTATGCGTAAATGATTAAGCCCAAAATTAATACGTGATGCGTAAATTTTACAGAAAGACAAGGTGAGGTGAAATTTGAAGTTTACCCTTTTGGATTTGTGACGTGTGAAATAATGTTTAAAGTGCAAGTGATGCGTGAGTTTTTCTAAACTTTTAATGAAAACTGAATTCGCCCTGATTCAGCAGTTGTAAGACAAAAGAATAATCGCTTTCTTGTGAATGAGTCGTTTCCATGAGCTTACCTCCTTCCGTAGTCATGTCACAGAAGACTTTTATGGGCTTGCAACTGTTCTCAGGGTCGATCCAGTACTCTCCGTCCCCTATGGAGTCCAATGAGCCCCGGATGTCCTTACATGAACGAGGAGCTATCAAAATATCAAAGTCAACACTAAAGCTGCGACCGATAAACGCCGCCTGCTTCTGCTCAACTAAGAGCCAAAGCTGCTGCGACATTACTCGAGGAAGGCCCATTCATCCTACCTAGAAATCTCTCCCCGAACAACACTTCTTTACATTATATTTCTGATAATAAAGAAATAAGTTTAATTATGAGAGGGAGTAGGGATGGCGCAGTGGTGAGAGGGCTCCCTCCTAAATTTTTATGCCCGAGTTTGATTCCCGGGCCTGGTGTCACATCAGAGTCGAGTTTATTGTCAGTTCTCGTCCTTGCTCCAAGGGTTTTCACCAGGATCTTTCAACTCTTCTCCCTCCACAAAAACTAGCATTCCACTTTCCAATTTAACCTAGGAACAGCGGACGGGAAGAGCCACCAGATTTTCCTCTATAGATCAAAGTTTTATGTAGATTTCACGGGTTATAGCCAACTCCAATCCACCAAACGACTTACATAGGGAAATTATAAATCTCTAGTTCCTCAGGGCAGGTAAATAGCTTGTTTGAAAATCCCGCTTGACATGTACTTTGCCAGATTTCAGCCTAAACAAGATCTTACCATTTTGACATCTTTCTCCAGTCCAAGGAGCCTTGCACCAACATTTAAATGTTTGTTTGTTTTCGTCAAGAATGCAAGATCCACCATTGAGACAACCAGTCATATCACATCTCTGTGAATAACATAACAATGACAATCTTCAAAATATTCAAAATAATGTTGTGACGTCAGTGGGAAACTGGCTTGAGCAAATTCGCTGAGTGGAAGGTGCCGAGATTCTTGGAACACAACTGAGCTTTCTTCTTTAATGTATCACGTTTTGCTGCTACAAAGTTCACAGTATTTTCTCCTTGATTAGTTTAAACTCTGGCTCTTAATCCAATACTTTCGACCACAACTCCAAGTACAACTCTCTATTAACAAAAAGCTATGCGCTTATATTCTCATTTTATTATTTTTATCAACCTTGGAAGATAACAACACACTTGTGCTCTATGTGAGATAGTGGCGTGCACTTATAACCATTGATAAACAGTGTAAAGCACGAAAGGCTCATAGATAAATAATAACCTTTGTAGTGAGAAAACACTGAATATTACGCTAATAAAACAGCGTAACGTCTTATGCAAATGAAATACAATGATAATTATAGAACGCGAAGTTTTTATGAGACCGAAAAGAGCCTTATTTTTGGCTCCTTCTTTATAAACAAAACACTAACACTTGCCAACACTAGTGATGTCACATCAAACTCCAGTAACTTAAAGTTTGAAATACTGATTGTTTTTATTGATTACATGACTGTTGCATTTGTAATCATCTCCTCCATTAATTGTCTATGGAATTGTCATATCAGTTGCACTATGGTCATCATTGTCTTCATCTGTTTATTATAAATACTGTTATTTTCTTTTTAATAATTACTTTTTCACTTTAGATTGTGACTAAACCATTTCAGCCAAGTTCCAGTGCAACATAAGTTTTTCATGATAGTTACACATAATATGAGATAAGAGACATCAGAAAGTAAATCCAGAGAAATGACAAAAAAATACGAGAAAACGTATGAACACAATTTCTTCCCATGTCCTACCTTGAGAAACATGGAGTATGTTACACCTTGCTCGTCTTGAAACTCGGCATCTTCGTCGAGGAATCCGTGTTGGTTTAGTTCACAAGTTCCTTGGTCGTTTTCCTTTGATGGCTTCTTGAAGTTTGTGGAAGAACAGCATGAATTTCTGAGACAGGAATGGCTGCACGACGTTAAACTGGGTGAGTTAAAACTATCAACAACATGGCTTTTCAAGCGCATGTTTTCCCGTATGGAAAATATTGCTCTACGAGAAATAGGAAGCTGTTTAGCGGCAGCGACGATTATCAAATGCATAATTCCGTGAAACACAAAAAACAAAGTTTTTTTTGGGTTCATTTTTTTAGAAAAATTCAAGAAACAGATGGGAAACTGCGAATTAAAAGGATTGATTTATATTTTTAACATGCAACTTAACGCATGCTCCATGACCACTTTCTATGTCCTTTTTGCCAAATGTTTCCTTTTTTAAAAAAAAAGCATTCGCTTGTTTTTTTTTGTTTTGTTTTGTTTTTTTATGAAGAATAATACTTATTATTCAGCGGCGAAAACTGCTCTATATGCGACAGCCGCAAGAACAAAAAGTCAGAAAGTTTTTTCCAGTGATCATTTTCAAAGGGAACTTTAAACTGGTTGAAAGTATAATTTTAGGAATATTCACCAGGTTGGCAGTTAACAATAGCTCTTTTGACATTCGCGTATTAAACAAACTTTTAATAAAACTAGAATTTCCGTTTGCGCACTTATTTCTAGCGTTGTTAACAATGGAAACAAAACTAACGAGGCTTGAAATCCTTCATAGATAAAAGAACATCAAGCCTGGTTTCTAATATATCATACCAAGAATTAATTAAAAAATCATTCCTTGACAGCTTTGAACAGTTTAGGCCATAGTTTAGGCCACTTGCTATCATTGCATTTCTTTGAATCATTTGGGACCTTAAACAGCGAGGAAGGCAATTTCAGGGAAGACGTAGATTAAAAATTAAATACATATTTTTAGTTAGACTTTCGTGAATGGATGGATGTCTTGCAGCACCACGCTTCAACTTCAGCTTCAACTTCAACTTCAGCTTCAACTTCAGGAAGTAGTGTTTAATTCCAGACGGAAACTTAAATAATTTAATTTTCCGTCGGGGTTTCCTTTCTTAATCCACGCAAATTTTGGGGATTTCACGTTGTTGTTTCGTACAAATTTTCAAAACGCACGAGCGGAGTTCTTGTTCTTGCCTATTAGATCTTTTGCTTTGTCACCTCCTCGTTTCCGTCGCTGTCATGGTTTGCTAAAAGTGCCTACCTTAATTTGAATAACAATAGAAGCCAGGTGCACACAAAATGTGAGGGAACAGACCCAAGGCCATAGATAGACCAGGAGAGAATGTATGTGCCCCATCTGTAATCAGATGCTTTATGGCACCAGTTAATCACTTTTAACAAAATGCCATAAAATCTGTCAACAGTATTCACGTTGGGCAAGAAAATAAGCTTGAATATTAGTTCGCGAATATGATCAGCCGTCTCCGATTAGCAAACAGTTGTCTGCATTCGAAATTAGCCCATGTAAGTGGCGTTTTGCATAAAATGAGCGATGGAGCTCTCCCGTTTTTATCATTTTTAAGTCTTGGGATTAAATACTTGACCAAATTTGCCCTATTAGATATTTCCTGTAGACTTTCTCCCAGGCCCTCAAAGTCAATCCATTCTGAGATGTAAACTGGGAATAACACTACGTGACCGAACGAAAAAAAGACAAACAAAGCATGGATGGGGAAACAAAGAAACTCCAGAATGACACATAACTCTTACCTCAAACTTTTTCCAACTAAGTATCCAGATATGCAAACTCACTTTTCGAAAGTTGCTATACACCCAGTCCCCCCTTAGATACTATATTGACAGGTGTCTTTCAAGAAGCCATCGCGGCACGCTTTACTTATCTCCGCAGCCATTTCTTTTACAACACAGCCTCGCAAGAAGAGCGTCCCGATGGGGTACAGTTGCTTTCTCACAAAGCATCTGCACGGTAAATTTTCTCATATTTCTGTCGTTAAATTTCCATCACAATCCTCTAATGTGAAGGAACCTTCGCAAGATGGACAGCCTAGGAATGAAAAGCACAAAGGATAGCTCTAGCTATGTTTTCAATTCATTAGTCACTTGTTGATCGTTTGTTTGGACTTAAATGTAGTGATGTATCGTCTTATTGCGAGAGTCCATACTTACAGAAGGGGGGGGGAAGGTTGAAAACTTGTTTCTTTCACTACTCTTTCAAGTTTCGATGAAAATCAGCAGGCCCTTAAAAGCCAGTTAAACCCTGTCATAAAATGATATTACCAGATTCTAATTAAATTTTGACAGCCGGATCGTTCATTAGTGATTATCTGACGGTGTGGATAATTTTAATTATAAAGGAAAGGAGAAGTCAAGAGTCTGTCCGCGAGAGGACCGGGCAGGCGTAACACATGTCATCTCACCGATTTCTTTCAAACTTTCACAGTTTATGAGGATCAATAAGTTATTGAAGAATCCATAATGGTTTGGGCTCGCGGCTAATCCCTGAGGTATTAGAGCCGCCACATTAAATTCCTGGGGTAAAGGCTAAAATTAGCTCGAAAAATGCACTTCCAACGAAGTCTCTCACACTAACAGAGCAATGGATTTCGATCTTATTGAGTCCAAAGGTTGTTTGACCGACGAAAAAGAGACCGCCCAAACAAGGCATGAGGAGAGCTGTAAAAAGGAAATGAGGGCCAGAGGCTGGATATGGGGTAGCTTGACGGATAGGCAACCAAAAGAAATCAATGGCGTTTTATGGCTGAGGCCCTATGTGCATAGGCGCAGCAAGAGGACCAACTAACATGCTTATGTATGGTTACCAAATGTACAAGTTTTTCCTCTTAGTTTAACGACGCATTTCTGTTTTGCGTTCAGCTTTTATTCAGCTAGAACAATGTCTTTTCAGGTAGCGTGCAGTGTCTTTTGAAATCTCTAAAACAGGTGAACTGATCGGATTCAAATTTGCACCAATACACGGACACGTACCACAGGTGTAAGAATGACGAGTTGTTTCAATATAAATCAATTGGTAAACAAAAGAGAATCGCAGAGGATAAAAGATGTCTAAAAATTTGTTTTTCTTCTTATACGGTCCGTAAGAAATGAAGTTTGCTTAGGGTTAGTCTTAATATAAGCTTTTCGAGTAATCTGATCATGTTTTTGAGGAAACTTCTGATGTTTCTTTTTTTTAATACTAGTAGTCATTCGAGGAACAGTTTAGCAGTTTTGCCTTCCAATGTAAGCGTACTGAAACCCTCTTTATAAACCTGCATAGATTACTCATGGAGACGACCCAATGTGCAAATAAAAACAAAGCAGGGAATTATAGAGCGAAGGTTGTCAAAAAAGTCGGCCAGGAAGGGCCAGACTACATATTAGAAGAGGGCAGACATTATCTGTTCCGAGATGCGAACAGTTTCCCGAGAGCGAAGCTAATGGAAAACTGTGAGCTCTGAGCTGCGAAGGATATTTTTCTTGTACTTGTCCTCAGTGGACAATATCTGTTTGTTGAAGCTCACAGTTTTCCTCGAGCTTTGCTCCAGGAAATGCATATTTTCGCATATTTTTCGCGCCAAATGGAGGCTATTGTCTCTACTTGATAATTTGGAATTTATGCATCACGTTTCACTGCGTGCGCTGCGAACACCTATTGGACTGGTGTACTCTTACGATGCTTACAAATTTCCTCTTAGTGAAACAACGCATTTCTCCTTTGTGTTCAGTCTTTATTCATTTAGAACTATGTATTTCCCATTTAGCAGACAGTGTCATTCAAGATCTTCTACACCAGTAAAATGATCAGGCTCAAATTTCCTCAACAATTTAATCTCCCAAATATTTCAAGATGTATTAAATCCATCATCGTTGTAGTTTGATTGATACCCTGCAGTGCGATTTTTTCACAAATTTTTGGCATTGGTCGTAACTTTCTCTAAGGCAATGAGAAAAAACAACAAGTAAGATTACAGATTTCAGCGCTGTACGAATTAGGCGAGAATAAAAATCACACTAATTTCTTTTTTTTCCTTCTTATTACTTATCGATGTATTTATTAGTTTTATCGTTGATTATTTTGTTTTATTATAGCGGAGTTCGCAGAGCGTAGCCCTGTAATTATAAAAAATAGTAGTAACCCATCAAGCCGAAAAAATTTAGATGTACGACCGTATGACCGACCGTACAAAGTGCTACTTTTAACATGCGTGGTCAACTGTACTGCGGGCACGCCAACGCCACGGCTTTGTCCAGTAGTCCAGTGGTCAGTGCACTGGGCTCCGAGTCGGACGACCCTGTTTCTAGTCCTGGCCGGGGTAAGGCGTTGTGCCCTCGAGACGTGCGGGAAAAAAAATGCGAGCTCCGCTTTTAGGCTTGGCTAAATCTATATATTATCAACTATGGTGTTATACAAGGAATTCCACGTGAAAAAATACGAAAAAAAAAGTAATTTCTCTTGGAGTCCCGCAATTTTGTCTAAAATCATACATTGGCGCTGCAGCACGTTTGATTTTGAAATTGCACTTGGCGGAATTAAATTACTTCTGTAAACGTTTGGTGGTTTCTTCCATTTAAAAACCTTAATTATGTATTCATTATGCAATTGCCACCTTTATGACAGTTGATTTGCCTACAAACGCATGCGCATTGAAAGAGGGTCCATAAAGGTTTACCGTTAGCCGTAAACGGTTAAAATAATTCAGCTTTCAGGCTTGAAAGCTGTCAGAGTTACACTGGTTGTCGATAAAAAAAGCTAACCATAAATTTTTTTGTCAACTTTAACGAAAAGAAATTAACCGTTGGCCGTAGAATGGCTAAAACGTTTAGCTTGAGACGTAAAGCCCTTGCCTCATCGTGACCCTCATGAACCCTTTTTATGAACACTGCATAGCCAAGATTACTTATGTACACGACCTAACGTGCGAATAAACACAAAGTAGAGATATATAGAGCGATTTTGGATTGAATATTGTAGAAACAAAACGAAAATTAGAGGAAGAGTATTTATTTTTTTTATATATACAAGGAACTAATCAGAAGATCTCTCAGAACTGAGAGTGACTGTGCGAAATCGGTCTTAAGGGCGGGAAATCTCGGCTTATTTATTTTTAGTTTTGGATCTGATTGGCAATTGAGAGCCGGGATGGTGCGTGTCTTAAGGTAGAAAGTTCACAAAGCATAGTGTTGTCCAAAACGTGAAAAAGCTGTACCACGCCTCCTTATTAACTCACGGTTTATTCACTTGATTTAACGATTTTACTACAACGCCTCGGTTAACTCCCACTAACAACTCTCGGCTTATTCCGAGGAAACACACACAAAACGTCCCGTCGTAAGCAGGTGGAATAGTGCCATATATGGGGCGATAAAACACGTGCCGCATACATGTTAGTTTGGCTATGTATAGATAAACGAAATCACTAATAAATATCAGTCAACTCAGACAAGAATAATTAACGTATCGTACAGTTTCCAACAGTGTGACGAATAGCGCAGATCTGTATATACTGCTTCGATGCTCAAATCAAAATTGCTCTTACTCTTGTGCGTTTTAATCATTTAACGCACGTAGATTTTCCAAAAGTCTCCTGGCGACGAGATGGTATCATTAGTCATGTCATCACAGAACCAGTAGTCTTCTCTCAAATACCAGTAGTACTTCTTTGTAACAAATGCAGCCCTATCGTACAACCGTTGCTCTCTTTTCTGGTTTTTCTTTCCCCATTTTCCCACATAGTACCTGTTTTCATGTCCCCACCTTTCACACTGCGCTGCCAGCTCTGAGTTATCCCCGCGCATTTTTTGAAAGGACCCGCATGAATTAGGCACTACATTTGTCTGACCGCTGAAATACTGAACTACAGCTTCGCCAGAGCTGTTAGCCACAGTGGCCACGTGGAACGTACGTCCCTGTTTCTTACTGCAATGGAATCTAAGCTGAGTGAAATTCAAGTGTGATCTGAGATCTTGCATTGCCTTTGTTGTAATACCCATTTTATTGCTGGAGAAGTTGCTGATCGCTCGGTATGATGAATTTAAAGTCCATCTGGTGAATGAAGTAAAGCCATCAGTCACAAAGTTCGCGACGAGAAGCCATCCTCCTGAAATAAAACAGAACGGAATGTAAAGTTCTTTTTAAGCCTATTTTCAATGAATGAAATCACTTAGTAATTTGTTCGCTGTTACAGGGTGAAACTGTCGGTAGAGGGTAAGGTAGCTATTAGCTGAGTTTTTCAAAAGGTTCATACTTGTCACGTGATTAAGATCAAAATGATGATGTGATACATAAGTTTTACAGAAAGGCAAGGTAAGCTGAAATTTGAAGTTTACCCTTTTAGATTTGTGAGGGGTGAAATACTCTTTCAAGTACTCGTAACGTGTGAATTTTTCGAAATGTTTAATGAAAACTTAGTTTACCTTGATCTAGCATTTATAGGACAGAAGACTGATCGCTTTCTTGTGAATGAGCTGTTTTCATACCAAGCTTACCTCCTTCCGTTGTCATGTCACAGAAGACCTTCACAGGCTTGCAACTGTTCTCAGGGTCGATCCAGTACTCTCCGTCCCCAATGGAGTCCCATGAGTCCCGGATGTCCTTGCATGAAAGAGGAGCTATCAAAATATTAGAGTCCACACTTAAGCCTCAGCCGATAAACGCCCCCCAGCTTCTGCTCAACTAAGAGCGAAAGCCACCGGGACATTACTCGAGAGAGAGGCCCATTCACTCTACCTTGATATATTTTCCCAGAAAACACCTCTTTACGTTCTATCTCGGAGAATAAAGAAATAAGCTTAACTATAAGAGAGAGTATGGATGGCGCAGTGGTGAGAGCGCTCGCCTCCTACCGCTGTAGCCCGGGTTTGATTCCCGGACCTGGTGTTACATCTGAGGCGAGATTATTGTCGGATCTCGTCCGAGGGTTTTTCTCCAGATCTTCCGGTTTTCTTCCTCCACGAAAGCCAACATTCCAATTTCCAATTTGACCTGGAAACAGTGGACAAGAAGAGCCACCAGATTCTCTGCTATAGATCAAATGTTACGTAAATTTTACAATGAAGTTATAACAAACTCTAATCCACCAAACGACTTACATAGTCTAAATCACTAGTGCCTCAGGGCAGGTAAACAGCTCAGTTTGCTGAAAATCCTGCTTGACATGTACTATGCCAGATTTCAGCTTAAAAGAGATCTTACCATTTAGACATCTTTCTCCAGTCCAAGGAGCCTTGCACGAACATTGAAATGTCTGTTTGTTTTGGTCAAGAACGCAGGATCCACCATTGAGACAACAGGTCGTATCACATCCCTATGATTAACATAACAATGATAATCTTCAAATATTCAAAATAATACAGCAAGATGTTTTGCGTCTTGTCACGAGCGGGGGACAAAGAAAAAATTCTGAGTTCCTATAAAGAATGGAACCTCAAACCTTCGGATTCCGCGCTGCGATGCTGTACCACTGAGCCACAGAGACTCTATGGTGAACGACGCCCATTATGATGTTCATATGTGACACGCGTCCTGCATACTTCTAGGATCAGCGATGTCGATAGCGCCATGTCTATAAATATTTATTCTTATCCTATTCAAAATAATGTTGCGAAGTCAGTGGGGAAACTGGTTGAGAGGCAGGTGCCGAGATCCTTGGATCACAACTGAGCTTTCTACTTCAAAATAATATGTTTTGATGCTACATCAAGTCTAACTCTAAATCCAACCTCAAATACTTTCGACCACAACTCCAACTACACCCATTATTAACAAAAAGCTATGCGCTTACATTCTCATTTGATTATTTATCAACCTTGGAAAATAATACCACACCTGTGCTCTATGAGAGATAAGCCATTCCCAGCAAGTTTCAGTGCAACATAAGTTTATTATGATAGTTTCACATATATATGTATAAGATAACAAAGATCAGAAACTGAAGTAAATCCAAAGAAATGACAAAAAAATACGAGAAAAATGTATGAACATAAATTTTTCCTATATCCTACCTTGAGAAACACGGAGTATGTTACACCTTGCTCGTCTTGAAACTCGGCATCTTCGTCGAGGAACCCGTGTTGGTTTAGTTCACAAGTTCCTTGGTCGTTGTCCCTTGATGGCTTCTTGAAGTTTGTGGAAGAACACCATGAATTCCTGAGGCAGGAATGGCTGCACGACGTTAAACTGGGTGAGTTAAGACTCTCAACAATATGGCCTTTCAAGCGCACGTTTTCCTGTGTGGAAAATATTGCTCTACGAGAAATAGGAAACTGTTTAGCAGCAGCGACGATTGCCAAATGCATCATTCCGTGAAGCAGAAAAAACCAAGTCTTTTTGGCGTTCATTTTTTTAAACAGAAATTCAAGAAACAGATAGGAAAATGCGAATTAAAAAGGTTCATTCATATCTTTAACATGCCACTTAACGCATGCGCAAAGACCACTTTCTATGTCATTTTTGCCGATAAAATATAAATCTTTGCTTGTTTTTTATTTTGTTTTGTTTGTTTTTCTATAGTAAATAAAACTTGTCATTCGGCGGCGTCAGCTGCTATGAATATGTACATATATATATGTGTGTGTATATATGCATCAGCCTCAAGAACAAAAAGTCAGAAAGTTTTTTCAGCGTTTTTCAGCGTTTTTTCATATTCAAAGAGTACTTTAAACTGGTTGAAACTATAAATTAGGCATATTCACCAGGTTGACAGTTAACAAGAGCTTTTTTGACATTTTCCTGTTATACAAACTTCTGATAAAATTAGCATTTCCGTTTGCGCACTTATTTCCAGCGTTGCTAACGATGAAAACAAAACTAGCGAGGCTTGAAATCCTCCACAGATAAAAGAACAACAAGCCTGGTTTCTAATGTATCATACCAAGAATTAATTACAAATTCTTTCTTTTGAAAAGGACGGCTTAGGACAAAGTTTCAAAATGCACGTGCGGAGTTGTTGTTTTGCCCATTAGATCTTTTGTTTTGCCACATTCTCGTTTCCGTTGCCGTCATGATTTGCTTAAGGTGCTTACCCCAATTTGAATAGCAAAAGGGACCGGGTGTACAAGATGTGAGGGAATTAACTCACGGCCATAGGTAAACCAGGAGAGAATGAATGTGCCCCATGTGTAATCAGATGCTGTATGGCACCAGTTTATCGCTTTTAACAAAATGCTATGAAATCTACGTTGTTGGGCAAGCAAATTAACTGGAATAATAGTTCGCGAATATGATGATCAGCCGTTTTCGATTAACAAGCAGATGTAGCAGATGGTAAATATTCACACTAGCCACGTCCACTTCGAAGAATAATTTTTAGATAACCATGAAGTACTGCATATCAAATATGCCAAGAGTTTTGCAATGTCTTGCGTTTTTACGATGTATATTATGTTTGAATGACCAGACGTAGGAAAATTTCTATGACGGTTACAACATGGACTTTCATTGTGGGAAGATAATGCCTTATATTTTCTGTCTGTTCTCTTCGAAGCCGTTGTTTGGCCGCATCCGTTGCGTGACAAACCAAACAAGAGATCAAGAGGGATTAATTTTTTCATCGGTGGATTGGATTCGAAATCGCTAATCAGCATGGTAAATTTACTAACTCATCGCAAGGAAGGGTTATTCTATACAGAGGGAAAAAAACCTGCCACTAAAGAGCATTTCCTCGATCTTTTATTGAAAACTTAACAGTGGAAGCAAATTTTAACACACAAAAAGAGAGACCTTGTTCTTTACCTATTGCTGTACTTCCACGATCCTAAGGGAAACTGTACAAAGTAAAAAAGAGCATATTATAGGATAGGAATAGAGTCATTGCATGATTGAATATTTCTGATATATATATATATATATATATATATATATATATAGGTAGGAAGTCTGCAGGTCGATTTTCGCGTGGAACAGTGCTCAATACGTTGAAGCAGAGCAGAATAAATATTATGAGAGGAAAAAAGGACGTAATATATGAATCGCTTCACTCTTCAGGGGTTTAATATGAAGCGATTAGGCCTGTCGGGAAATGTAGTTATGTCCTTTTTTCCTCTCATAATATTTATATATATAAGTATGTATATGTATGTATATCGACCAAGTCGGCCTTCGCCTCTTCCGTTTTTGTCCTATTTATGTCTCAGGATTAAACATGATATCCCCGAGACAACGTCATACCAGGTTTAATTAGGAAAAAGCCCGTGCGAAAAAACCATGCGAAGATGATTCCAGAAGCCTTTGGATTCCAATTAAATTTTGACAGCCGGGTGGTTCATTAGTGATTATCTTACGGTGTAGATAATTCTATAGGAGAAGTTGAGCCCTAAATTTCAGACTTAAGAGGGCCATACGCTGCTGCAGTAAAAGCCAAATTTAGGTCAAGATACTACTCGCTTTTAGCCGTCAGGACCAGGCCAAATGCACAGGAGACAAACACGAAAATCTTCCAATGCATTATGATCTTCACACAGTTCTTATACTTGAATTCGTACTATGAAGAAATATAAAGTTAATTAAAGTTAATGTCTGCTCCCGAGGGAAACATTGAGGGAAAAAAAATTATTAGAACTACTTAAAAGGGTTTTTTTTTATACATCTGGAGAACACAGAGTAAACAAGCAAAAACTGAACGTTAATAAAATTTCACATTTAGTTCTTGTAACACTGGACAAGTACCACAAGTTCATTTCCTGATACGAATTTTCGCAGTCCTTCTGCTCTCCTGGTTTTTTCGATTTCATCTCTCGATGAGGTAGCATAGCGCTCCTATTTAGTCTCAGGCTACTCAATTGTGTTTTCAAGAGCTATCGGGGAGCTGGGATAGAGGCTTCGCAAAATCCCTCAAACCAACGAGACCACTGCTCTGTGTGGGAATGTGAAAATGACCGCAGATGTCCCGAAGATACAAAGAGAAAAAAGGAATTTGCTAAGCTTTTCGGGCTGGCACTCGAAAGTTCTTTTACAAAAATTACACCCAAAGGGGGTAAGTTTCTAAAGAAACTGTGATGTTGCGTAGGTGGGAGAAGCACAACAAGGTAATTCAGTAATATCAAATGAGTTGATAACGTAAATTAGCCACCGTAAAGACTTTCAAAGCTGACGTTTCGAGCGTTAACCCTTCGTCAATAGCTCTGACGAAGGGCTAACGCTCGAAATGTCAGCTTTTACACTCTTCACGATGGCCAATTTCCGTTATCAACTCATTTGATATTACTAAATTACCCTATTTTCTCCTAAGGGTTGCTTTTTGAACATTCTACTCTTTGGACAAAGCATCTTTTGCCACCCTTGCAGCTCACATAATAAAAAAATTCCCTCCCCCTCATGTAAATGTACTGCTAAGGATACAACAACTTCCACATCATTGTGGCTGTTTCTCACTTGTTATTACTATACAGAGTACGCCAGGTGAAGCCTAATCGAAGTTTTTCCTACCATCAGCGACGTATGAGGTGTTAGTCCTTTTATCTTTCGAGTAGTAGCGTTTACCAGCGCTTCCTTCATGTCTCGGGATTCTCTATCAAGCAACAGAATGCCAAAATAATGATAAGCGGCTAAGCTTTCGCTTGTTTAAAACGCACTTTTCTTACCGAAATCAATAGATTTTGATCTGTTAACCAGTCAGGGCCATTCCCGAGAGATATGCTGGAAAGAATTAGATGATGCTAATAAACGAATCTTTATGTCATGAACACAATCGTCTTACTATGAGAAAAGCCTTTTGAAATAAAAGAAAAAATATTTCCCCTCAGCTTTTTCTTTTATCAGACTCCGTGACTCAATGCTTTTGGAGAATTTCTTTGGTTTTGGAATTACTTCGCTCTATGGTCCTCAAAACTCGTACCACTTTCTCAGCCGATCAGATTCCTTACTTAAACCTATCACAACTTGCTCTCCCGCATTTTCCCGCGCTTTGGACATTTTGCTTGATTTTGCTTTGAGTTCTCATTGGCTTTTCAATGTACTTTCCTTTCTTCTGATTGGCCGTTGTAATTACTTTGGTTTTAATTTACGACACTCAATCGAAAAGCAATCTATTTACTAACAGATTTACAAGAATGTCAAAGGAATACCAAAATCGTATTTACATTTAGTCAAGCCCTCCTGCCCTTCACTCGACTCTCCCTCAGTCTGTTGTAGAGTTTGCACAACAATGTCGGAACCAGTCACTATTTACGCACGGGTGGGGCGGGTGAGGGGAAACATGAAGAATCAAGGGTTTAATGATTGTAGATATATAAAAATCATATATGTGCACTGCGGTGAAGAAACGAGTATAAGAGATCCTGGCAGCTATAAACACTACTGAGCTAGTAGGTTTTTTTCCGTAGCAAAGGGGCGGGATTTCTTCTCATACTTAATAAAAAAATAATAGAGTGCAAGACACTGGTCCACAAAATACACTGTTGCTGCCCCCGAACGGCCGAAGGAGTTCTGACGGAAAATACAACTGTTGTTACTTGCAAGAACGAAATTTATTCTTAAGATAACAACGTAGTCCACCTTTACATAGGGGATTGCCAGAGGATTAATTGGATAACTGAATGAATCACTGATCAAAACAAAAGCATGGAAAAGTATGGCTACTCCAAAGGGAGGAACAGTTACTAAGTGGCATGAGCGGTCGCCAAGCAAATTGGTGACATCCGCTGGCAAAGCACTAGGCAACATTTCCAACCCTAACCCTAACCGCTGGAATGTAGTGGGTTCACATGGTCTGAAGCAATGTTACATAGTGCTTTCCCATCCACTGATTTTACTTCGTACCGCTGTAGTAACTGGTTTTAATCTTGAAACCTATCAAACTGAAGCACATCCTTTCTCGCCGTATGAATCATGTGGATGCCAGTATCAAAATAAAGATGAAGAAAAACCTATGTACCCCTAAATATTGTAGGACAGCAGCCATTTCAGGTTGGCAGGCGAAAGTAAGGGGACAGAGACGAAAATATGGGTGTTGGTTGGGATCTGTCAATTTTTTTCAGCTTTGGACAGAAACGAAAGTCTTTTTCTCCATTTTCATGGCGTTTTGAATACTCTCTTTGACTGCTGACAAATCCCCATCGTATCCGCTGTTTGGTCGTTCTTATTCCCCCTTATACAAAGCCATGCGAGCAACCAGTGGCATCTTATTAGCCAAGCAAAATTCATACCTATGGTAGTAAGGGTTATCTTTACAAAGAGAAACACTGCTATTAAAAAGCATTTCCTCGAACATTTATTGTAAACTTCACCATAAAAGCAATATGATACACACAAAGTTAGAAAACGAGACAACTTTGAAATTTGTTTCGCAAAAGTTCGTTCTTGAGCTTAAATTGTATGATCCACACTCC